ATCCTCATTTGATAGGGAGTGTGCATGCATTGTGAATGTGAGTAGACCAGGGTTGTACATAGATAGGAAGAGAAGAAAGTCAAGGTTAGGTAAAGAAAAATAAAACGAAAAAAAAATCTTGATCTTGAAAAAAAAAACGAAAAACGAATCCAAACGAAAGAGAACGAAAAAGAACGAAAAAAAAATGAAGAAAAAACACGAACAAAAAAAACACGGAAAAAAAAAAAAACGAAAACAAAAAAAAAAAAAAAACCAACCGAAAACCAAATAATCAATCAAATAATCAATAATTCAATCAATCATTGGCCCAATCAATGAATCAACCAGTCAATCAATCACTCAATCAATGAATCAACCAATCAATCAATCACTCAATCACGACCTTGGTTGATTGATTGATTGATTGATTGATTGATTGAATGTTTGATTTCATTGATTGACTGATTGATTGATTGATTGATTCTACCACTACAACCTCAAAATATGCACTGCCCCACTTTTTTTTTTTTTTTTTTTTTCCAGAAACACCCTCCTTGTTTACGGATTTCGTTCTCGTGGCCTGCAGTTCCTACGTACACGGACACTCGGCACGACGACGACGGGGACTTCACTTGGACGGCTTCCTTCACAGCGTTGTCGAGGACAGAAACGGATAACAGAGGGTCTGCAACCGACGATGGCTTCTGGGGCTGCAGGGGGATCTGGGGGGAATGAGTTTAGACCGGCGTCCGATGCTACCATAGCGTCGTTGCGATCCAAATCAGCCATCTGGAAGCATGTCACACAAGGACAATTGGTGGGGACATGGGAGAAGATGCACGGCGACCACAAGTTGCGCTGCAACTACTGCAAGTTCATTTACCAGGGAAACCAGAGCAAGGCACCGCGGCACTTCACGCAGCCTAAGAAGTGCAAGCAGGCACCGCTGTCCGTTTTGGCAGACATATGGAACAAGACGCGGTACAAGTTTGACCCGCGTCATGAGGAGGGTATCCTACGTTATATTGAGGAGATGCGCATAGCTGACGCGCGATCTTTGTCGGGGAGAGGCACGCAGAGGAGGCAGCCAGGTGGAGGGTTCGGTGCGGACCGAGATGACGATATGATGGACGCTGTGGACGAGGTGGAGGCGTTTTTGGACCGGGAGGCGAGGCGAGAGGTCGATGCCATGCGAGGCACTGCGGAGGTGGGAGGGGAGGGTGGTTCGAGTCCCCCGCATTTGAGGGGGGAGGAGGTCGTGATGACTGCGCGTGGCACGGGAGGTGGATCCCGAGATGCTAGGCAGAGAGAGAGAGAGAGAGAGGGAAGATGCACGTCGATGAGGTGGACGATGACATTCCTGCGGAGGGGCGCAAGAGACCTAGACAGACGACCATCGACGAGGTGTATGATGGCGACGCTCAACAGCGGACGAGGAACACGTTTTTGGAGTGGGTGTATGACGCGGGGATCCCGTTTCGTGCTTTCCGGAGGAGCTCTTGGAGGAGTCACCGCAAGGCGGTGGCTGAGTTGCCACGTGGAGTACGGATGGTGTATCCTTGTCACAAGGAGATTGGGGGGAAGGGGGTTATTGAGAAGCGCGATGAGGTCGCTATCAGGCTCGCACATGTGTGAGCATTATTCGAGGCGATTGGGGCCACCATCTTGACAGATGGCAGGAGGTCCAGAGATTTGCGGCCCATCATTAACTTCCTTGCCGCTGGCAAGCATGACGCGCTTCTCTATGCCACCGTGTGTTGAGATGCTTCCGTTCCTGAGACGGGGGAGATAGTGTTGAGAAGATGGAAGGTCATTTTTAGGTCCTTCCCTCCTAGTCATTTGTTGGCGATCTGCACGGACTCTGCGTCCAACTACACGTCCTCCGCAAAGCTCCTTGCAAAGGACGCTGACCCAGAGCTGCGTCGTATCACGTGGCTCCCATGCGCCACCCACGTCTGCAACTTGATATTGTCAGACATAGGGACCCGGGTAGACTGCATTTCCTCGGCCATTCTTCCTGGAAGGGCCTTGGTGCGGTTTATCAAGATGCACGACGCTGCTTTTCACCTTTTCAGGTCGAAGAGCAAGCGCAAATCCCTTGTTCAGCCTGTGGAGACGAGATTCGCGTTTGTGTTTATGATGCTCCTTTGCCTAAAGGAGCGCAGAGACGCGCTTGAGTCGATGCTGCACGATGAGGCTTGGGACAACATTCCCTGGGAGTCTCGGTTGGTCGACCAGGCGGTGTGGGTGCGCCAGACTATCCGCGATGGATTGTTTTGGCGGGATGTGGAGTATGGCATTCTGGTGATGACTCCGATCCACCAGTTGCTCAGGAGGCTGGATAGGGGCGGGATGGTTATGTCCCTGGTTTATTCTTGGAGTCGCCGTGTGGTGGATGAGTTACGACGCTTGCAGGACGGAGATAGGATCCCCTCTTAGATACTCGATGATTGCATCGAGCAGGTCCTCGCCCGTCGCCAGCATATGTTGTAGACGGCGCACGCCGCGGCGCATCACCTCAACCCTCGTAGGCGTCATCTTCGGTACTACGACGCAAGGGCGAGGACAGCAGAGGATTTGGAGGTTGTGCAGGAGTGCAACAACTTCTTCCTTGCCCAGACGGGGGGAGATCGGGCAGGCGCTCGGTACTTGCGCACTCGTGAGCAGATGAGACAGTTTCACACACGTATGGGTCCTATGTTGACCGACCCTGCCACGAGGGACGCGGAGGCGTAGGCATGCAGAGGGGACGACGAGACACCGAGGTGTGCTGCTTGGTGGCAGGAGCACAGAGGCGCATACCCCGATCTTCAGGAGATTGCAGCGCGGGTGCTGCACATGTGGACGTTCGCCTCTCCCATAGAGAGGAACTGGGCGGAGCATGAGCGCGTGTGTACGGCTAGGCGTAACAGGTTAGAGTTCAGGAAGGTTGCTCAGTCGGTTGAGATTGCCACCAATCTCAAACTGTTGGAGTGTTCCGAGTCATCTACTGGTTAGGTTCTTCCGTGGGGACACTTGGACGCCCTAGATGGGGTAGAGGGTGAGGACGAGCCCGAGCCCTTGGTATGGGGAGTGCGACCCCGCGCATCTGTGACGGAGGAGGAGTTGGCGTCGATTAGACGCCGATTACAGCAGCTAGGTAGTCGTCGACCTCGTCCAGTGTCAGAGGTGTTTGGTGCGAGAGCCGCGATTCTTCTTCCGTACGAGGCGGAGGTGCCGGAGGAGGAGGTTGTGGATGATGTGGCTCGACCTGCGCGAGACGACGCCATTGATGGCGATAAAAACTGGACCGACCCAGAGGAGATCGCTGCACGAGGGAGATCGCATGTCGTGCAGACAAGACGCTAGAGAGAGTCTACTTTGCACGGGGAGGACATAGCAGCACAGCACGATCTCGTACCACGCTCATCAGAGCAGACGATGACCCTCCGCGCGGTACATCTGACACACATCATGGCACCGGACGTGGCGCGGGCACGAGTGTGACCAGAGGTCCCACACAATCGAGGAGGGTGTTCGGTGTTGATAGCACCGACGATGAGCAGGCAGTGGAGGGTGACGAGGCTTTGTTGCGTCCATGTCATTCGTTGGCGCCTGAGGTGGGGAGAGACGCTCAGCCTCGTAGACGGTCAGAGAGGCTGGTTGGCCGTGACAGCACTACCCCCCAGACAGAGACCGGTTGTTTGCAAGACCTAGAGGAGATACAATGCGACACGGTGGAGGGTGAGCAGTCTGAGCAGCGCACTCCTATTCACACACACACATCACAGGACATGCCTTCGGAATTGCAGACGCGGGACTTCATGGTGGGTGGGGAGGGCACGTCCGGCTTCGGCATTGGCAGACGTCAGCACGTTCGAGTGGGAGACATGGCAGACTACTGTCCCCGTGACACGCCGAGGGAGGAGACCGAGGCAAAGCGTAATGCGTGCATTGACGCCGAGGAGGAGAGTCGTTTATCTCGGATGCAGTGGGCGGGGAGGGTGGCTTTTCTGGCGGATGCGGAGCGCAAGAGACGATTGAAGACCGTTGGTGCAGGTGGCGATGACGACAGCGCGGAGGGTTTGATTGGACCGGATGCTGCCCTGCATCCTTTGGGTGGGGGCCGTGCTGATGATGCACTTGTGTCTTCATCGCCTACTGCTACGACACACCATGCCACTCTCCCGCCATCCCCGACCGTTACGAGACATGCTGATGTTCCATGTGTGTCAGCAGCGCCTCCTGTACCATGCGGGTCGCCTCCCTCCCAGACTCATCTTACCTCAGAGGCAGGAGGTTTAGGCGCGATGGACTCGGAGTCGGATATTGTGCGTGACGTTGTACTGGGACGTATGGCACCTGCAGGTGCGGAGGTAGAGCAGGTGTTACCTGGACATGAGGAGGAGAGGGCGGGACAGGAGGAGGACACGATGGGACACGAGGAGGAGGAGAGGGCGGGACGTTCGGTATCGGACACTCAGGTCGTAGCTGGAGACGAGGAGGAGAGGGCGGGACACGAGGAGGAGAGGTCGGGACGTTCAGTCTCGGACACGCAGCCTATGACGCAGGTGGTAGCTGGACACGAGGAGGAGAGGTCGGGACGTTCAGTCTCGGCCATGCCCAGCGCACAGAGAGTTGCCCGGCATCCGACGCCAGGGAGTGTTGTTGGGAGAGGACACTTGCCTGCTTCGTTGGCACCTTCACGGCAGGATATCCGGCAGTCTGACCATCGTCCTTGGTCGAGTGTGCGAAGAGTGGATGGGAAGCTTAGGAGAGAAGTTGCTGGAGCTGAGGCACGACGTCGAGAGGAGAGACAGAAGGTAGAGAGAGAGGCACAGGAGAGAGCCATGGCAGAGAGAGAGGGAGAGGAGGGAGGATGGGCCAAGGGTGGTAGCGCGGGCAGTGGTGGCCGACCCAGTATAGTCACCGCGTGTCGTATTTTGGGAGTGGGACTTCCGAGGAGGATGCGAGATCTCCGCATACCAGCCGCCCCAGAGGCCGGAGTGCAGAGTGGGGTGTACACCTCTGGCGAGAAGGCTTTGCCTATGCGCGTGGGGGAGAGACGTCATGAGTCATTGGGGGAGATAGCGGCTCGTATAGCAGCCCACGAGGCGGAGATTGCGGCGTTGAGAGAGGCTTCAGCATTGGCGAGTCTTGCGGACACTACGGGAGACGTCGACGCAGACACCGAGGAGGAGTCTATTGAAGTTGCGAGGCAGAGAGAGAGAGAGAGAGGAGAGCGGCTTCTTCGGCACGATCGGCCATGAATGGTCCTCGATCGGCGGGCCGCAGTGGCGGTCGTGGTGCCGGCCAGTTCTAGGGACCAGTGGGCTTGCTCTGTTGTATGCATGTTTAGAGTTTACTTCATTGTCATTAGGTTTGTTTGTAGTCTTCATTGTATAGTGTGTAGAAAGATCGTCGTAGGTTCTGTAC